ACAACAATCCTATGGAGCTGCCGGAGTCTGTGTAAGCAAGAGGACTCTTTGTTTTTGTATATATTGTTGACAGAGTGCAGTTTGACTTATAAGCAAATGTTGCGTTTGGTGATTGTGTTATGCAGCGTTCCTGCTGACATTTGGCAATTTCGAACATTGGTTTTTCGAAGAGTGTTCACGGTGCCGCATTTAGTAAATGTACATTTACGCGAGTTCGAAAACCGGTATACATACATACATATCGTCGTTTAAAGTTGTAACGTAGCTTTGCCTACGCCACAATAACATATTCAACATCATACGTCTTACAACTGCACATAGGTACCAATATATGAACATACATACATACAAACTGGTAGGCGTACACACAAACTAACATACCAATGTACATACGTACAGGTGTACATACGCATACGCGAAGCTGGCATGATAAGCACATGCAGATTTCACAAACAGCAACCTGGATACTCATGCGCACCAACAGATGGAAGAAATTCACTGCGCAAAAGCCATAACACAAAATAAGCCCATTCACTTCTCAAACGGTTCATACAAAACCAGAGCTAAAGCTGCCAGCATGAACTCAACCAGCATCAGTTGTCCGTAGGTAAGCACGGAGCGCAGCCTGGGCTTCGCGCCTATTTGGGGCGCTCTTGGCTTTCCTCGGAGGAGGAAGACTGATTGGTTGAGGGGGGGCTGCAAGGGGGGGAATACCCCTCAGGCAACACCCCAAAACCATTATGGGCTAGACCCATTTTTGGTTACGGTCTCAAGCAGACAGGGGGCCAGATCCGTTTGGGCTTGCCCAATTCCGAACACCCCTGTCTGCTTGCGATACCGCGTGGCTAGCAGGCGCTGAAGGGGGAGGGAACCCTGCAGTGCCTAGCGGCCGCGAATACAAACGGGGGGACTGGGCAACCTTTCGATGCCCTGGGGACCGTACTAAGCATCAGTTGTCCGTAGGTATCAACAAATCTGGACCGCCAGCACCGCTACCGCCCTGAGGCCGACATTTCACCGAAGACCGCCCGCTATTCACTGCCATCCAGGGCCGCCGCTATAACCATCGTCAACGTTAGGGCCCGTACCGCCGCTCTAATCACCGGGGGCCGCTACTATTACTGCCGCCCCAAGGCTGACATTTCACCGAGGACCGCCCACTACTCACTGCCATCCAGGGCCGCCGCTATAATCATCGTCAACGTTAGGGCCCGTACCGCCGCTGTAATCACCGGGGGCCGCTACTATTACTGCCGCCCCAAGGCTGACAATTCTATCGAGGACCGCCCGCTATTCACTGCCATCCAGGGCCGCCACCATAATCATCATCACCTCTAGGGTCCGTACCGCTGCTCTCATCACCGGGGCCGCTATTACCACTGCCACCCCAAGGCCGAAGCTACAACCGTGGGCCGCCCTACATCATCACCGAGGACCGCGAACGCTAACTATCGCCAACCAGGGCCGCTGTCACCATTGCCACCATCAGGGCCCGCTGCTAATGTCTGCATTATCGTCGCCCCAGGCCGCCCACTACTGCCCGTCACGAGTACGGTAATCGCCACTACCATCAGCGCCCAGTACTCCTGTCACCGTCGTAATTAAAAGGGGCCGCATTTACCCTTCGCCACCATCGGGGCCGCATACAACATCACTGCGGGAGATCGCTGCCGCCCTCATCATTATATGGGCCACTGCCAACGTCACCGCTGAGGCCGCCACCACCACTGCAAGGGAACTGCAGGCTGCCGTCGCCGTCACAACCACCGCGACTGCTCTCATTGCCACGCTCTTCGCTACGACTGACACGTACCACTGCTAATCTCGCTGACACTAGTAACACTCCCGTCACCGTACAATTACCCGCCGGATAATCTCCGACACCGACTGCCGACTCTCGCTCTTTACCTTCCGCTCTCCCCTGCACGACAAGTTGCCAGCCTTCTAGATAGCCGCGTGTGTGTGTGGGTGTGTTCGACTTAATACACAAATCATTGTGTTTTATTTGGTGGGGGTTAGTGGGACCTTCGCTGGACTCTGGAGCGGCTGAGCATACCTCAGCCTTCGACAAAACCCACATCATAAATGGCGCCCGAGCAGAAACCCAGCTCTGCAGGCGCATGTGCAAAAACCTCAACAAGCACCAACACTGCGGAAGCGGGTTCATCGAACACACCACGACAAGTAAATGACACACGGATGAGCGAAAATGATACCACCACACTAAACACTGACTCTCTTGGCTGGATATATCTATT